TGGAGGCGCTTCGGAGATACCAAGGTCATCTTAATTTTTTTAAATGGATCCGATATGTTTTTTTTCCATAATATGATAGAGGAGCTTGATACAAGTTCAGAACTCACGGCACAATATCATTGAATGAATAAACATATTATGGAAAAAAAAAACATATCGGATCCATTTAAAAAAATTTAGATGACCTTGGTATCTCCGAAGCGCCTCCACCTGGACAAAAATATTATCGCTATTATAATAGCCCCCTTCGTACCGTGAAATTTTGGTTACACAAATCTTCTTCTGGGACTTATAGATTTGAAGATATTTAAGGTCCTAATAGTTATTGCCCCACCCTGTATAATATATATATGGTAAAAATTATAAATATAACTATATTTATACATATTATACATATTAAACATACAAAAATTAATTGAAAAATAAAAATTATTAACTTTGTTAGTAGAAAGCAGCGAGTTAATTTGGCTAAGTTAATTATGGTTTAAAATCAGCATGTTGCATTATTTCGCATTAGTTTTGATTACAAAAATCGTAACTTACAAAATATCTAGTAGTATGCATGCAAATCTGAAAACTGTAATTATATGATTTATAAAAGAGAATAATAGTTATTAAATAATGGTCAATTATTTACGTATAACAATTAATTGAAAATAGATAAATACAATACAATAAAAATTGAGAGTTAGAAAAATATGCGCAACTGCTTACTTTAATATACCGAACAAAAAATACTTACCTTTATAAATATGTTACAATTTATACGTTGCATATTGTATATTATAAACTTTATATGTAACTTTTTGTATTTGCGTTATACATATACCAATACGAAATAAACTTGGTTTCTCTTTTCAAATTAAATAATACAGAAAATGTGTGAGAAACAAAGAGTGGAAAAGAGACAAAGAGGAAAAAATAGGAAAAAGAGAATTACCTTATGTATATTTGATGTACTGGCAGTTTAATTCTTGCGAGTCATTCCTTTCTACAATTTACATAAAAATAATGCATACCTTATTCCATTGTTTCTTATATAGATAATATTAATATTATACTAATTTTCTTATATTACATTCTTTAATGATAAATTCGGTCTTTTGAAACGAAATTTTTGAATAACATTTAGTTAATAAATTTAGTTAATAAATTTTAGTTGTCTGTGTTTTTAATCACTAAAAAGAGAAATTATATTTTTGGTCAGAACATTTGACAGAAGTTTAATTAAACGTTGCTTATAAAGATAAATAATATCATAGAAAGTCGAGGAAACAGTGCAATAAATATTTATTCATAATGTTTCATTAAAAAATTATACTTTGTACTGGTTAAATTGATCAACAATTTATTACTACAAATGATACGCTAGAAAGTTGTCTAGTATATGTATAAAAATTTCTATTTCCTGTATATTTGTCATCGATGTTATTTCGATCAGTGCCGTAACTAGGGCAGTGCTGTCAGTGTTCTCGCACCGGTTGCAAAAGGGACGTAGTCAAGACGATGTAAAATAAAAGTTTGAAAAAATTAAGGAATAAACTAAAATTTGGAAAAAAATATATTTAAGAAAATACTTGTAATAAAAATAATACATATAATAATAAATATGATAATAAATAATAAAAAATATAACAAACAACAATATATTTATTTGCAGCAAATAAAAATATTTTTTTAGTTCAGACGTTAAATTTGTTTATTATATACATATATTTGGGAAAGAAAAAAGAGCGCAAGATATTGAACTTGCCTCAGACAACGCAGGCTGCTAGTTACGACATTAATGTCAATATACATATTATTATAAAGTAGTTGTAATAATATATTTTTTTTAAATTATTATAGACCTCCGTTTATATGTATTTAACAAGTAAATCTTTAGTTTTTAAAAATATTCAGCAAATACAATATATTACAAAATTACATTACCAAACGACAGTAAAAACATTTTTTGTACAAATCAAATTTTTAACAAACTTGGTAATAAAGTGTTATATTTGTGATGAGAGATTATGAATTATGTTGTTCCCCCACATATTCCAATGTACCTGTATCAAAATAGAAAATGATTAAATCTGTTTTTAAAGAATTAAATAACCGATGTGTGCTCTCGATGATTAATTACATACAAAATACTTAATCATATAAGTTAAAAATTTTAATAATCAATATTGCTTATTAATATATTAGTATATATAGAATATATAAAATATTACTATACATATACATACATATGTATACATACAAGGTGAGTTTTATTTCGTGAGTCAGTCTTTTACCATAAGAGATGGATTACCAACCGAAACTGTAGCCCACTCTGGAAAAAATGGAAAAACTTTCGTTATACATGTTTCAATCATGTAATATCTAATTATATCTCTCAAGATACAGTTAAATACTACATGTTTGAAACGCATTTAAGGAGGTTTTTTTCCATTCTTTTCGGGTTGGCTACAGTTTCGGTTGGTAATCCATCTTTCATGGTAAAAGACTGGTTCACGAAATTAAACTCACTCTGTATATAGAAATGTGCGTTTTTAAAACGGAATACATTACTGTAATTTATGAGTATAAATTTAAGTTATCGACGGAGAGTACAACATATTTCTATTGAATCACCTACGATGGCGTTGAATTATATGCTAGTGTACAAAGATTTTAAATTTAATTAATTTGTGCAATTATCCATAATACTATTAAATAATTTTGACTTATCAATGTTCGGTAAAAAATCTTTTACAAGCATCTTTTACAGATATCGTACTTAACTTCTAAAACGTTGTTTTTTGATAAAACAATAAATTATAGTACATTCTCAATAACATAATTACCTAAACGATAATCTTTGATAGCTTAAGGATTTAAATAATATGATAGATATGATGGAAAACAACGAAAGAATATCGTTAAAGTATTCTTTGACAGAATAATTTGTCTTTTATGTTATACATCGCATTAATATCAATATCTGTATGAAATTCCGTGATAAAGCTTTCGTAAAAATCAATCTCGGCTGTGAGAATAAAAAGGAAACTAAATCTTTGCAGCTACAGAGCAGCATTCTTTACTGAACAATTTAAGTTTTTGGCAATTGAAATGATCACAAGTATGAATAAACTCTGAGCTTCAGTGTATAACTGAAGAAAATAGATTTGTGAATTAATTGTTCACACAGCTAAGGGGTCGAAAGTTAGAAAGAGAAAGCCAGAACCTTCGAATATACACAGAACACATAATACGGACCGTGGCTGTAAGAATGAAGCGTGACTCTTACACACCTCCGAATTGATAGGGGATTTCAACTGAAAAGAAACGAAATCAGAAAGACTTCTGATACTCCCGATCTATCCTTTAGTTAGGCTAGAATACAGACCAGAACCGTCAAGGATTGCATAAAAGTTACACGGAAAGGTGTAACTTTTATGCAAGTGTAATATTCAAATACGACTAATACATTGCAAACAAATGTGTTCTGTCATTTTCTTTAACATTCAAGAGAATTTCAAAATTGCTAAACTTTTTATACTTTTCTGTAAAAGCACATATGCTGAAAAAAAATTATAAATATGTACAAACATATATATATATCAAAGATTATCGCTGCCTCTGATTGCTTTATTAATTTTTTACATCGTAAAAAGAGATTTGAAAATAAATACTTTTGCACATTGAAACCATATCATAAGTAAAATAGAATTTTTGCGTTTCGCAGCAAAATATAATACATAAATTTGAAATGTACGCCTATCTTAATTACGAATTAAGATATACATCATCCGAGAATCAATCTCTTTATAGAACTTCGAAATCGAATAAGCTTATATCAAGTATAAATTTCATACCCGATTGTATTGTATTATACATCGCATGAATGTCGTTTCGCACCTCGGAAAGGTGTACATTTTATGCAAGAGTAATATTTATATCTTCTATAGATTGTACGTGTAAAGATCGCTTTTAAACGGATCGCGTTCCAAATAAGTCAAATCTATTTTTACTTGTAAGGTACAATTCTTCCCTACCTGTATGCGTTAATCTACTTTCGTAATTCGCATTGCAGTAGTATATGGGCGGAATAATACCGGGGGAATAATATCGAGGTTGGGAGAGAGTTATCCAGAGTGACATTTTACTACATTTACATTACAAGAATCTAGTCCACTCCCAAATGAACTATGAAAGAACCTTTGAAAATCATTCTTCTGCTCTCATACTTACAATCCTACAGGCAGAAGGGCTCTGCGACGAGTCCTTCAATCGGATTTTCCGTGATCCAACTCGTTGGGGATTGCGTCGACACTAACGGCGCTGTTAGTAGCGCCGTTGGTCTTCGGTTCTTGTCGGATTTTCGATTTTAAATAATTTTTCACGTAGAATGATCCGAACATGTAAATGAACAGGCCGGCGTTGAGCGCAAGCAGGAACGATAGCGGCTTCGGAAAGTTGCAGTTAGTGAATAGCATTTGAAAATTGTGGGAAAACACTATGATAAATTGCACGATCTGCATAGTAGTCAGATGCTTTTTCCACCAAAGGTACTTCTGCATATGCGGCCCGAATGCAGACAGCATGTAGTAGGTGTACATAAAGACGTGGATGAAAGCGTTGATGACGCCAAGGAGGGTCGGGTGACCGCCAGCGAAGAACTTTACACCGATCCAAGCGCAGACTGGCATTAACGAATGATGATAGAGATGCAGGAATGTGATCTGTCGGTCTTTTTTGCGTAAAACAAAGAACACCGTGTCCAGCAACTCGATCAGTTTGCACAGGAAGTACAAGTAAACGCCGCGGGCCATCTACAAAGGCATAATTACATAAAGATCGAACGTAAATGCTAATGATATAGATTGTAAAGTCAAGCGTCATTTTCTCTAGAACAGTACGCTCCTTCGTCTAAGGTGGACGTGGAATCTACACTGAATTCGAGCACCGGTTTAAAGTTGCCGTAATAACGGATGCAATGGTAGGGACCCGTCGCAAAAAGTGTCGATTCAATTTCAGTATAGCACAGAAGCCATGTAACCATAATGTTTCTATACAGCACAGAACAAATTGCACAACACTTGTTGTTGTAACATTATTGTAATATTTAAAGAGCAATGAAACATCCGCTTTGAGAAATCTTGTAGTGTAACATTATCGCAATATATAAATGCAATGTCGTTATAAGCATGCAACGATATAGATACATATTAGAAGTACGGCTTATATAAAAAAAAAACTCGTATGGAGAAGGAGAAGAACGTGTCCATTGCACTGCAATTTACAAGATTGCAATATTGCTGCAATATACGTGAAATATTCCGTGCTGTATATGGATTATTATTATAGGGCTATTATATTAATAACGGTTTAGGCTTACCCTCACTGAACTCGGTTTATACGAATAATCGACAGGTTGGCAAATGAAATCGTATTCGTACAACCAACCTGCCATCAAGCCTTCGTGAACTAGATACACACTTAACAAAACCTGAATGAAGTTATAAATTATCAGAGTGTTTTTCAAATTGTACGGTTTCTTGTCCTTCATGTATCTCGGTCCTGCCGAAACACAAAAGTATATATATGTCGCTATGATTGTCAGGACTGGACCAGGACTAGGTACCAAAAGCCAATCTTGTGTTCTCGGATCTATAAAAATATACGTTTTAACATATAATTTAATCTAATTTAACTTAACGTTAACATTTAAAAAATATAATTCTGTTGTCACATAATTACCATATTTGTTATCTATCACATCTCTATACCACTCCACGATGTACGACATCTCGTAGTCTGACTTCGTAAATCTGCAAACATACAAATTGTAAAGTTTAAAATATCAAAGTTTGCATTAAAATAAATTTTATATTTGATATTGCATTTTAATAATAATTTACAAATAAAATACAAAAATCTAAGTTGTAGTTTATGTAGCTGTGTATTAAATAATAATAATAATAAAATATTTGTATAGTCTTGTCTTCTTTATAGAAATTTGTAAGAATTATGTAATAGAGAGAAAAGAGACAGCTGCATGGACAAGTGGGAAAAGATGCGTTATCTTATTTAAGATTTCGTTATTGATTTAAATTTATGACGAAAGAAAAATGTTACTTATAGTCGCCAGTGATGATTAAAAATTTTCCAGTTGAGTTGACAATAAGCTCACTGTTTTAATTTTAAATTTATGAATTCTATATGAAATTAAAATTATGATTTTACATGCTTATAATAAGAAAAGAATAGATTACTCTACGGACAATTGCGACATTGGTACTGCAAGGTATTGCAGTTATGCTGCAAACGCGCAGTAAAAAAACGAATGACTATGAAAGTGCTATGCATTGTTCTGCTTGTTTCCTCAGTCGTCCTTGGTGGTCCTAATGACAATATAAATTACGCGAGGGACGGTAAGGGAATAGAAACTTGTGCCTTTTCCTAAATTGCGATGAACCGTAAGATAGTGCAGAATGTGCAATTTTAATGTGCATTCATGGCTGCGAAAGATATAATTAATAAGTATATAAAAGAGGCCAATTTTAACGAGCACGAAAGTTAACAAAGTATTATATTTCAAAATTTAAGATATTACAAGAAATACATATCCGCGGACGCGTTTCGGTACACTGTGCTTTCATCAGTGCAAAATCAGCTTAAATTTAAATTAAATTAATGTCGGAGTTAAAATTAAACTTTTGTTACATGTGTTACATATTCTTCGCGATTGTCCAGTGTATGTTTGAGACGGACAGGTTAAGTCAGTTATATAAAAAAATTCGTAGCTGAGGTAGCCGGCTGTCACGGTTGTGGTCAATAGAGACAGATCCAGGTTCTATAACAGGTTGGATGGCCCATATAGAACTTCTTCTATTCAGTTTGATTTGGCTCTGATTAATTTAATGATTGTTAGTTTGTTTTTATAAAAAATGGTATGCGTTTGAAATACCTTCATTTCCCTGCTTGACCAATTCCATATTTTTTTACGGCCAGATGGTTTGATCGATCTTACTTCCTTAGAGTGTTGGAGAGAAATGAGTCGTTTAAAGAAACAGTGTGAAGGTGATGCTTCGTCATATTGATGTGGAAATTGTTTATATGTTAATATTATTTGTTTTTAACTGTTTGTAAGACTATGGAGGAATTCTGTGTAGGCCCCGTCCAGGAGCTCCGTGTCCTTTTGTGAATTGATACCATTATGTTTTTTAATGTGTATCATTTCGCTTATAATTCTTTTCCTCCAGTTAGGTTCTTTGTCTAAAATGGATGCATTTTTCCAATCAAATGTGTGATTGAGCTCTATCATATGTTGTGTTAACACGGAGTGTTTGGACGGATCCAGCCTAGAATTGTTTGAGTGTTCTTTTAATTTCGTTTTTAGTTTTCTTTTTGTTTGTCCGACGTAAGTTGCATCACAGTCCGCGCATGACGGTATTTTGTATACCACGTCTGTAGTTTCTTGTATGTTGGTTTTATCTTTAAGTGTTCTGATGAAATTCTGATGAAAGCACAGTCTTAAATTTTGAAATATAATACTTTGTTAACTTTCGTGCTCGTTAAAATTGGCCTCTTTTATATACTTACTGTTTTAAACATAACACGAGCGACATTATTATCTGTGATATAATTAATTTTACATTTCTGGAATTTTATATAAATGAACCACAAGACGATTCCTTTAACACCAACTAACTTTTATAACACTAAATTTCATTACAGCGTGATAATAATTTTAGAATCTCTGTTTAGTTTCTTTTTACAATCATTAATTATATTATTTCTTAGAATTAACATTTAAATTCACACACAATTTAAATTAGTTGATATTACAAAAATCTACAATTTAATTCGCACATATTAGAGAGGGAGATATATAACATTATTTTTAAAGACTATCTCCTGCAAAAGAACATTACCAGGTAAATTAAAGCATAATTATTTTATTGCGATATTACGAATTATTAGTCTGCGGTACGATAAAATTAATAAATGAGTATTTAGGTTAGCGAAAACGCAAGGATAAATTTTCTATATTAATGTACATTTTTTGCTTTACTATAATTTTCCTGTTGTAATCTAATTAATATTTTGCATATTATTTCAAAAATGTCCGGCGCTCGATAAAAGCACACTGAATACGTTGAATAAAAATTAGCAAAACTATCGAAATTCACTCTCTAAAAGTCAATTAGTGCATTATCATTGAAAACAGTGAATATTCACTGATTCACACTTGTAAGTATAGCACTGAATTATTCACTGAATTACACATAACTGTTTTCAGTGACAATGCGCTGATTGACTTTTAGAGAGCACGGCATAATGTTGCATTTACGTGCAGTATTTTCAAGAACTTCGAATCTAATTTCGAAATCTCTTTAGGTTGCCAGTAATATTATAAATAGTAAAATATATTAAACACGTGTCAGATAAGGTCGGCCAAAATTTATTTATTCGGATGTAATTATTCATTATTGGGTCAAAGATTTTTCTAGATCCAAATAAAGTTAAGACCAAGGTGAACGAGATTCCTATACAAAGCTGTAGTGAAATTGACGTGCTTCACCGTTGCTGTTTTCTTTACACAAGTCAGATAGACGCAATCGGATTTACCTAATAATAGTTTCTCTCTCTCTCTCTCTACACATCATGATTCACTCAAAACGAATTCACAGAAACAATTTTCTCTCGTGATTATTTGCAATGATACGTTATAAAGATTTTTATCATTTGATCGGTTTTAAAACTACGGAAAAATTATTTAATTTTTCGAACATGAAAAATTTTGTAATTAGCCAAGTATATTTTTCTTTACTTTATTGACATAGGGAGTAAGTATCTACATATAATTGTTATGTAAGGTCTCAGATTAAAAGAAATTGACGCAACGGATCGTGACTTTATGGTCACAAATTGCACTCTTGATACGTGAGTATAATGTCAAATACTTGTTAAAAATGTGTATCCGATTATTATATTTCCAAGCTGCCGAGCATCGATAAGTCAGTTCAATAGAAATAATACGATAATGACACTAGTGTAGTAGCGAGCGTGTCGTAAGAGCTAAAGAACCTAGTCATAGTGTTGTCTTGTGAAATCATTATTAGCAGTAAATCGTCGTTTAACAACTGGTTTTAAAAGAAACGATCAAGATCTTTGGAGGACAACGATATGATTGCGGTCAAATTTTTGTGGTTACCGCGGTTTACGAGAAAAAAAAGACAATTTCTCTTTGCGAAATATCACCTCATGTCGCAGTTCATGCGTTAATGCTATCTACAAAACATTATCGACTTGATGTGGCTTAATCTCCATTTTAATATGAAATAATGATTAGTACTAAACGTATCCAAACAAAAAGAAACAAAGCTACATTCTGTCATGGAATTGTAGCGCATAGTCCATTTACAAGACATTCTATCTTTGATTATAGGGCATTTGAGGTCCTTGAACGAAGAAGCCTTGAAGAAGAAAAAAATGGAGCATAAATCGGTTACGGTGTTTCATTGGGTTTTCTACAAATCAAGCTTTAAAAGAAGATGTGTTGACAATAAAAAGAACTCGTAAGTTAAATTTTAATAACGATATAATTTAAAGCTACAAAGAATTTGTCCTTATTGGAAAAAATGCATAGTTCTTTTTATTATATATGAGATTCTAATCTATAACAAGATTTGATTGTAGAATTTGATTGTAGAATTATATTATTTAAAAACTATCATTTTTGTATTAGAATTTTCGTCTTGAAATTTTCTAAGGGATCTGTGATTAAAAGGATATCCGCTGGTTTTAGTACATCCTGTATATATAAGGGTCGGACTCAAATAGTTTCGAAGATATAAGCTAAAAAAGCATAAAAATAATAAATGTAAAAATAAGCATTTGATAGTAATTTATTCAACATTATCATTAGGAGAGATTTCAGTCATTGCATCGAAAAATGCAGTAATCCGAGTATCAAAGTTATATTTACGACGAAACAGAAATTCAACAAGGTATCCTACATAATGTTTATCACGTGTTCCGTAGAGAGGAATATTAGCACGTGTGTCTCGCCAGGTGCGTTCGATGTATTGTGTGAGCATCGCTATCAGGATCTATGAACTTCATCTTAAAGACATTTAAACTCACAATCATTCAAACAATTATATAATCTCCACACCTACATATAGATGTGGGTTGAATCTCGCTTCGCGTATAAAGTTAGGAAATCGTTTACAACTTTCCACGCGAAGCGAAATTCAACCCACACCTATGTGTAGGTGTGGGTACGGTTAGTTTTTCAGTAGCGGAGCCCTTCCTCCCGCAGGGGGAGCGGACTGCCTTCACACATATACTTTTTAATGGAAAGCGAGGTTCCACATGGGTTTAAAACTTATCAAATGCTTATTTTTGTATTTATCATTTTCATCCTTTTTTAGCTTATATCTCCGAAACTATTTGAGTCCGACCCTTTAATATATCGTATATAAAATATATGAAATTACTCGGGAAAACCCCCAACGAGTTTAATTTTTTTATAAATAAGAAACTCATGTTAAAAATATAAATATATGTGTAAAATTTCATATAAAGAGACATTTCACGGTTTTGATAAACGTAAATGCACTTGTATATGTACACTTTTAAGGAGCGAATTTCGTCCTTTTTCGCGAGTGTTCCACTTTGAGACCAGTCGAACGAGATAGTGACCGCCAAAGGTTCATACAAGTCAAGAAATGTGTTTAGTAACATAACATGATCCGGAAATAAACATACATTTAATGTCACTATTGTACTTTCGAGGAAAACACTGTAGTAACATTTACTG